AAATTGGCGTGGATTATTCAACGAAATTCTTGGCCAATAAAAGACGAAAAACATCGGGAAAAAATCCGTGAGTAAGATTATTGTCAATTTGCAGGTGCAAAGTGATTAAGAAAAAAACTACGATTTCAATTGTCCTATTGTTTTTTTATATATTTTTTATAGTGAAAGGACTGATTTCTGAACTCAAATTTGAGCTAACTGCGTAAATTTTAGTGATTCATCGTTGTGTTGTAGTCATAGATTCATCGTCATCATCGTTGTGTTGTATAAATAGAAGAATTCATCATCGTTGTGTTGTATAAATAGAAGAATTCATCATCGTTGTGTTGCATTCATAGATCTATCAACATTGTGTTTGATCCAAAAATGATGATAAAAATGTTGAAATTTTTCATATTTTTTTTTTACTTTGCATTAGCAAATGCAAATATATATAATATATACAAAAAGTACTTTGGTGTTGATTTTGAAGATTTTGATGATGATGATAATGATTATGATGATTATGATGATAATGAATCAACAACGACCATCATACCCACCACCACCATTGCATCATCACAAATTTCAAATTTTCTAATCTTTGGAATCAGTTTTGCAGCAATATTCATAATTTTTGGCATTTGGTGGCTGGCTATTTGTACGGAAAAATAATCGATTCCATGAACCATTTATCCCTGATTAATCCCTATCATTCAACATTCAATCATATATCATATTTATTCATATTATTTTCCACATGGTTGAAAATCATTACTATCATGTACAAAATTACCCTAAAAGGTAACCACATTTTGCGGGAATATCCTTTTTATCATCTCATCAATATTTAAGTTTAAACCACTTTTTCCACAACAAATAATCGAAATCATTATTTTTTTTAACATCGTGTGACAAAAAAAAGCAAATTAAATTAAGGTTGAATTAAACCAAGGTTCTTTCTAATTTTATCGTGATCACGAACTACGATCTTCGTTAGCGGTATTCGATATTCTGTGTTTCTTAAACACAGAATATTTTTGGAGCTGATTGATTTCACAATTTATAGCTTCCAGCCATTGTTTCGAATCAGGTAATTTGATAGCATCATCGTAGGTTGATGGTATGATGTAGGAATTGACACATTTGTAGCCAAATCTGTTCGGGGGAACTCCCCTGTTCTCTAGATTCGATCTACGTGGTAACATATGATGATCAATTGCATCTGAATTTGTGGAATTTTTGGTGGATGATGAAAATGAAGCTGGTAAAGAAATTGTAGATGAATCATGAATATTGTCAATGACACTTGCACTATCACTATCACTTGTTGAATCATTATCACGGAAAAAACTTGGATTGATGAAAGAAGATGCTGATGATTTTATTTGGTATTGTGATCATCAAGATTTAAATGTGGCCGATCAATAAGCGAAAGAAGCAACAAATTTGACTCATATTTTGTATGATCTTTGTCCGGTTTCTCTGGCCAAATATCTTTCAAAAAATATCTTTTACAATTGGGACTGGAGAACCAATAGAGATAGATGTGTTACTAGACGCTTCTTTTCTTCCATTTATGATCGTCTATTTTATACTGTAATGATCTAAATTCAATTTCAGTTAAATTTTTATCCTGTGATGGAAAATTTCGTTATTATTTATATAATATTGGTTATTCCGCTGTTGGTGCGGAATAGATACGAAAAATTCCATACATTTGATTTGTTATTGTCCACGTTTTATGAGTTCTCGTTTCCTGATTGAAAACCAGTGCGGTCTTTTTTTGTGTGAAGAAACATTGCCGACTTGGATTATCAAATTCCCTGCTAAATTGGCTGATTTTTTATTGTTGATTTATAAATGTTTGTAATTATAATTGTGTAGCACTCAACTGGCTGCGCATAGTCCTGCCTATTGTAACCTCTTCATATTTCGACCGAGAATGTCGATGAGAGAAACAGCATGTTTCCAACTGCAAATTCCGAGTCCGAGTAAGGCACAATTGAACACGCAACACACTTGAACACACACATTGTGATTTGAGTTTTTCAAAAAAAGTTCAAATTCGATCTAAACAAACTGTCGTTTGCGATACATGATTAAATTAATTAATTTACCTATATAAGCACCCTTTCATAGTATTTCCAACGCCCGAAGTCGTCATAAGGACCACTTGGGAAAGATTGTTTTATACACAGAAATAAATGATAACGTTATTTTTGGACTTGACGCTGGAACAATTATTGAATATAATAAATAAAATCAAAATTCGAATTTGAAAAAAATAAAGTGTTTCCTTTTCTTTTTTTTCACATAAAACTGATTTTGGAATTGTCATCAGTGTTCATATGCTGCCTCATATGCTCTTTTTTTTTGTTTTTTTTCGTTTTCTTTCACACTTTTTTTCTTTCATTGTTTATTTTATTTTCATTTTATACAATTCATCAGCAACTAGAAAGGTTGACAATCATTTTTTTCTAAATAATATCATATAGCATGAACATGACTAATGAATTCATTCTCCGTGAAAAATCAAAATATGTTCATCAAGACAGAATTCGTGAAACAGATGATGTGGAAATCAAAGCTTTACTAGGTTTATTCATCTTATTTGGGATTTACCACAGCAACCGGCTAAATCTGGGAGACATTTGGAATAATGACGGGACCGGAATAGAGACATTCCGCTTAACCATGTCTCTACAACGTTTCAGATTTCTCAGATGTTTGAGATTCGATAGCAAAGAGACGAAAAGTGAAAGAAGAAAAATCGACAAACTCGCGCGATGATCAAGAAAATAAAGATATGATGGAGAATCTTAGTAAAAGTTAACAGAGAATCCGAGATAGAGGTGTTCCGGCCTTCTTTTGAAGTGCTATTTATGCAACAGATTAAAAAAATCAAAGGAAAGATGACGTATTTTGAAAGGAAAAGAAGTTTTATCAACCATCTAAATCGCTATCATTTTGATTATTTGAAGTAAGTTTATTGTTTATTTAAATTTTAAATATAACTGTTGATTCAATAATTTTACCGATTCGAACAAATCCAATGACAAGATGACAATGTTTATGATGATGTCGAAATTGTAAATCAAGAACGTTCTTTAATTCCAAACAATGATGATGATGATGACGATCAAGAATTTTTATTGAATCCAAATATCGATGATGATAACGAGATTTCCAAATCTCCTTCAAATACCGAAAATTTGAAAGATTTGAAAATTAATTCAAAACTTGGATTCATTTTAAGTCATTCTAATGAAATCTATGTATAAATTTAGCAGATGAAACAAGTTCGGCTACAAATATGCATGAATCTATATTCCTTAACAATTTAATAAATTCAACATGGCAAGAATATTATGAAAAATTGTTATTTGATATAAATTGGTTAAGATATCAAGAAAATACAAATATGCAAACCATCAACAAAATTGTTCCAATGGTAATTAAGCATTGTCTTCAACATTTACCAACACATCTTGATGAGAGGTGCAAAATTTTCGAAAACATGATCAGCCTTTCAGGAAGTAAATATAAATTGAATCAATTTATAGAAAATTTAGAAAATCAAGAATTTTATACTTACTTGGTTTCGAAAATTCAATTGTTGATCGATGTCTATTCAAAAAGAATGAAATCTTAATTATGATTTATGTTAATGACATCCTAATTGTTTCCAAAAATCAAAATGAAATTATTGATATTGTCAATAAGTTCAAACAAAATTTTGAAATTCATGAATTTGATAATATTTCTAAATACGTTGGTTAAATTAATTGTAAAGATTATTTTCTTATTCATCAAACATAAAAAATTGAAGAACTGATCAAGAAATATAATATTTCATGTTCTGCATCAACTCCGATTTCAAATGAATTTATTAATGATAGTGATATTGATGAAAATTTAGAAATTCGTGAATTAATTGGTTCTCTACATCAAAACATTCTTTGACAGTGGCTCAACACACTGCTTCATCAATGAAGGTGTTGGTGGCCTTACTATGCAAAACCACCAACACCGCAACAAAATCAACTTTAACACACACATAGAAAACATTATAGCGAAAACAATCAGAAGAAAGAACATACTTTTTAACTACTGTAAAAACACTTTTGGAATTAACACAAAGAAACGACAAATCCTATACAAAGGCCTTATCAAGCCACAACTAACATATGGATCAGAAATCTGGTTCATACACATAACCAAAAGACAATTAAACAAATTAGAATCAACACAACACACAATATTAAGACACTCAATAATGGGCTACAGAACAATTTCAAAAGCTTGTACAACACTACTCACAAAAATTGAACCCTTACATGACAACATAACAATCAAACACACCAAATTCCTACACAGACAGAACATCCCACAAGACATATTACAGGACACAACAATCTAACAATTCATACAAACAACAAGACAAAACGCACAGTCTCTTATTGAAAAGTAAATTGTAATTTTTAAAATTTTATATTTTGAAAAAAGTTGCGTTTTCATTCAACAGATATATCGACCGAAGAGACAAAGATTTTCCTATAGGATCAAAAGCAACAATTCGCAAATTAGCAGATATTTTATAAAATCGTCTTTTTACGCCATATAACATTGAATCTGTATATAATCAATTAGATTTTATCTGTCATCATCATTCTAAATTATATTACATCACTGAAATTACGCCCGCCATCATAAGTGATGATCTTCGCACATACATAGCAGTTATCCTAGTCACTAACTTATATTCGGATTCGATCAGCGATTCTAGGTTTTTCAGGTCAACACTTGATTCATCTGGGTCGAATAAATCTTCGAAGAATTTTCTGGTTAAGCCAAAATGGATATTTATTAGATGGCAATCGGCCTTCAACTGGAATAACATCTTCTCGAATAGAGAATTAATGATACAATTATTCAAAAATTGAAGATCAAAATCGATTCTTTATCGAATATTTTATTGATTGAAAGCATTACAATTAATATATCTGTAAAGAAAATGAAATCAGAATATTTCCTTCAACAATATTGAATGTTTAGATGAACATTTCCATTTTGATTATGTTCATTTTCTATGTTGGTGTTGTAATCTTTTTTAAAATTATCTTTCAATTAATTTCTGATGATTTGCCATTCACAAATTCAATATAATTCAATAATAATTTGATTTTTGTTCAATTTTAAAAAACTTGAAATTAGCATTATTGAGAATGAAATATTTTTAGCTGATAATATCATATGTGACAGGAAAATTGTTTTGGATTCCCTTATTCGATCGTTGGCAATCATATTCGGCCTGTGCAAAAAAAAAATTTATAAAATTATTAAAACTTTAAAAAAATTATTAAAATTAATAAAACAAATCAATAACATACCATATCGAATGATCCACGATAATTAGACTATAGTCTAAAATTGGTTCATTGGTATCTTAGCCAGATGTAATAGGCCTTCTATGTTTTGCCTGCGATTGTTTCTGAACTTCAGAGACTTGTAACGTTGGTAGCAGATATAACCAAGTGTTAATATTACAATGGCGATTGCTGCCCCGATCGCATAGTATCGAACATGTGATATATGTGATATTACGATCTGCGATAGCAATTTGTGTTCTTTTTCCACCAGGAATTCTAAATCTTCAAAAATCTTTCCTTTGTCCTCATGGAAAATTCGGTCATTCAATTTTTCGGTAACATTAGGATCAAAATCTAACAACTGTTCCGATTGATACTTTTTCACATAGATGGTTCGTCGATTGATGGTGATATTGTTACCTATCTTAGTTTGATATATTTGGTTCTCACAAGGCATTGATTCACCATTCACTGTTCGGTTTTGCATAAAACAATAGTAGTACGCATGATCATTGTCCGTTTTTATTTGTACGATCTCTTCTGGTTTGATTTTCGATTTATCACGGCACCAAATTTTTCTCCACTGATCTTTCATGGATGTTATCATTTGGCTGCAGGATTTTGAATGAAAAACGAACTTGGCTTGTTGATCTTTGATTGGGTCAAACAATACCTTTTTTGCGCATCCAGTCCGTTTTTGATAAGCCAGGAATTTGGGCCCGATGTATTCTGCCAGGCACACTTGTTCGATTTTCGTCTGATTTTCCGCTATACCAATGTAAAACGGATCTGCCTGCAACAGTGAATAGTCTTTGTCGATTCTTAGTCCATTTATCCTGAGATGTAGGTTACTGTAATTGGCGCCAAACAATTTTTCGAATTGGCATCCTTCCAAGTGCCAATATCGTTTCGGGGCGTTTGGCCCCAACGTTATATTCGGGAATAACCGTTCCAGTTGGATGGTGAAATCTTTGTTGTCGGGATCAAGCATAGCGTTTAGAAGTCGTCCTGTCTCACTGAATTTTGTCTTCAGCATGGTGGCCAATTGCTGATTCTCCAACACTTTCTTCAATTGTTCCACGGGTGTAACTTGTATACTTGTCTGTGGTTGTAAGAAATTGAATACCATGGATGATGCTACTTTTACAACCGAGTAGGCGAAACTGAGAACATTTCGTTTTCCGATATTATGATTTCTTGGTTGTGATGGAGCTGGACAATAAAAAATCAGTGGACTGGTGATTCTCGCATACGACCGTTGACAATCATACCAGTCGTAATCTGCCATCAGTCCAATGATATTCGAATCGTTAGTTGTTGTAATCTGATCCAAGATGTCACATGGTGATTCTAGATGGATCAGAATATCCGCTTCTATCAATTGCGTGGAGATATAGTGGTTTGATTTTCTCCAAATAATCGGATAATTTAAAATTTCATTATTCACAAATCCCCCGATTATCATAAGGAGAAAAAAGATGAAAATTTTGCAGATTTCCATTTTGCGTTTTGAAATTTTAATTAAATCAGGAATTACTTAGGATGATATGGTTTTAGTTTTCCGATGTGGACCCGTTTATCCCTATTTGGAAAAAATTAAATGTTCAATCTCATAATCTGAAATATACTTATACAAACCGTGAAATCTATTGTAAGTTTAAAATACAGTAATACCCCGCTCAACGCTGCCCCGTTTAGCGCTGATTCGATATAACGCTGTACAATTACCCTACATTGCATTACATTGTTACATTGTATATGAAGGGTAAAAATGCATTATGTAAAGATAGCCCCACTTAGCGCTGTTTCGCTTAACGCTCAGAATTTTTGGAACGTAACCCCCGCGTTAAGCGGGGTATTACTGTATATAATATAAAAAATTTAACTTTATTCAAATGAAATCACTGCAAAATAGTGTGATCTCTACAAGATAAAGATTGTTGTGTTATGTGTTTAGTTTTTATAATATGTGTTTGTTAATTATCCGATAACAAAATTATCGGTGATGTTTAAATGTTTGGAAATTGTTTGGTGTGCAGGCGTCTTTAGTGCTTCTTATGACGGATCTGAATCGTTCGAAGCCACTCGGATTCTCCTGAGGTAGCTATCTAGTCTTGGCTGAATTTCTACGATGGTCTTGAGCAAACCAAGGAGTTTATCCAGGTTCTTGACTCCTTTTCGCTCCCATTTTTTTTTGTCTGTGGGACAATCTTAACGCAGATTCGTACGATGTTCATTATTTCTTTATAATAGATTTTCATGTTGTTTTCGGTCAGGTCAGTCGGAAAGCGCGAAACCAAATCTTCTACTTGGTCGTACACTTCTTGAATGTCGTCACCAAATTTTTTAATGTCATCTTTGGTTGGTTATTTATTAACTTTGTCGGCCATTTCGACTGAGTGACGGTTTTTTGTGTAAGCGTTCAACAATCAAAAATGAATTCTTCTTCATTAAGCCATTATAATCGTTATAAACAACTACAACAATTATCGAATCCGGGCAGAGTGATTAATGAGTCTGAAGATGCTATTCTTTACAAATTGGAAAAAAACTATAACATTTCATTGGATATTTTTAAATCACTTAATTTTCCATTTGCTGAAGCACGTGAATATGAAAGAAATATGATTTTAAAAAATTTAACGAGAACCAAGGAGAAGAGGAATAAAATTGTATATTTCTTAATGGATCCTTCTATGATAAAAGATATATCATCGCAAGAAAACATAATACTTGGACAAGAATTGATTGATTATCGATTGTTCTATCAATTCATATCTTCAATATTCTATGTTGGTCAAGGGAAAAAAAATCGTCCACCAAAACATTTATTTTATGCTAACAAAGAAATTACGCATCCGACAAAATTGGATTTAGATCCAAAATTCCGCAAAATCCGGAAAATATGGGACCGTGGTTTGAATCCAATATTGTTTAATGCTTATGAAGGTCTTACGCAACAAGAAGCACAAGCAAGAGAAGCCTTGCTAATTGAAACCATTGGCCTGTACAAACTCACCAATCAGGTTTACGCCACTTATAGAGAAAGATGGAAGATTAGTATAAATAAAAAAAGAATATTGGGAACATATTTACTATGTAAAATTTTCAAGAAATATTCTTCTGAAGAAGAACTGTGGAAGAAAGCTGCCAAATTGGAAATAGCTAGCAAAAATGCTTGCGAAGATGATACCGAAGATGAAAGTGATTGAAAAAGCGAAACGTATTTCCGAGTACATGAACGACGAAAATGGCGTGGCGTAATGGTCATTTTTCTTACTTTTCCCTGACCCAACAAGTTGAACTTTTGATCATTTTAAGAACTTATGTCCAGCCATTATTTTATTAATTCATTGATTATGTCATTGAACAAAACTAGTCATTTGTTTAGTATTTGTTATTTATTTGGCCATAATATAATAGATTAAGTTTGTTTTGTTTTTTCTATTGCGAATAAAAAATTTCAATTATTCAAAAAAAATTTCTTATCAACAAAAAAAACTTACAATTTTGTGATCTCGACACTGGATTTTTTGTTTTTAAGTTGTTTCTCAAATTTTTTATTCTCCTTTTTTCTATTGCGAATAAAAAATTTTAATTATTTAAAACGAAAATGGTTGGAGCAAAAATCAGTCGGTTACACGGTCTTGTTATTGAAACAAAGTGATGAAATTATCGTGTCGAATGCCAGTTTTACAATCGTTTTTATAGTAAAAGTGGTCCTTTGAATCAGTTCATCGTTCAATGACGCATGATAGTAAAATTTTATGATGCACATTTTTTGCTCGACTAATCTAAAATATAGAGCCAAATAAATAACAAATACTAAACAAACGACTAGTTTTGGTCAATGACATAATCAATAAATTAGTTGAAACATAATAGTAAAATTTTATGAAGCTTTTTGGTCGAAAATAGTAAAATATAGGGCCAAATAAATAACAAAATAACAAAAGACTAGTTTTGTTCCATGACATAATCAATGAATTAGATGAAACATAATAGTAAAATTTTATGAAGCTTTTTGCTCGATTGCTTTTTTTCTTTTACCAGTTTTACCATTGCTCGACTAATCTAAAATATAGAGCCAAATAAATAACAAATACTAAACAAAAGACTAGTTTTGGTCGATGACATAATAGTAAAATTTTATGAAGCTTTTTGCTCGAAAAATCTTAAATATAGGGCCAAGTAAATAACAAATACTAAACAAACGACTAGTTTTGGTCGATGACTAATCAATGGATTAGATGAAACATGATAGTAAAATTTTATGATGCACATTTTTTGCTCGACTAATCTAAAATATAGAGCCAAATAAATAACAAATACTAAACAAACGACTAGTTTTGTTCCATGACATAATCAATAAATTAGTTGAAACATATTAGTAAAATTTTATGAAGCTTTTTGGTCGAAAATAGTAAAATATAGGGCCAAATAAATAACAAAATAACAAAAGACTAGTTTTGTTCCATGACATAATCAATGAATTAGATGAAACATGATAGTAAAATTTTATGAAGCTTTTTGCTCGAAAATAGTAAAATATAGGGCCAAATAAATAACAAATACTAAACAAAAGACTAGTTTTGTTAAATAACATAATAGTAAAATTTTATGATGCACATTTTTTGCTCGATTGCTTTTTTTCTTTTACCTCATAATGTCGCGAAATTGGAATATTCATGAAAGATACAAATGTTCGATGGACAAAATAAATAATGAAATAATTGGACAAACATTCGGATTTTTTCTTTCTTTTTTCTGGTTTGTGAATCCAACTATTACAATAAGAAAAACGATTCTTTTCTCATCGTAAAATGCTGGATGATGAAAAAAAAATTGGAAAAAAGAATCAAATTTCATTTTCAGCTTTTCTTTGCGTAGAGAAAATAGTTATACGTAGTATACGAAAAGTTCCTATTTTTCTTATAAGAATTAGTGTATGGTACATTTCAATATATTTATTTACAGTAATACCCCGCTTAACGCGGGGGTTACGTTATAAAAATTCTGAGCGTTAAGCGAAACAGCGCTAAGCGGGGCTATTTTTACATAATGCATTTTTACCCTTCATATACAATGTAACAATGTAATGTAATGTAGGGTAATTGTACAGCGTTATATCGAATCAGCGCTAAACGGGGCAGCGCTAAGCGGGGTATTACTGTATATTTATATTAAGATTGATAAGATTTTTAATTTTTATACATCAACACCTTTCCAATGTAAACACTAACAACGCCATTCAATTTAAAATCATTTCGTAAAATGTTGAAATAGTCAATCTATTCTAGTGCCATCTATTGTAATGAATTTACACAAACTTTCAATTGCAAGAATTATTTATTGATGATCAGATGTTATTTAGGAAAACAATGCCGAATGACTTTATCAAAATCTATTTAAAATGAAGTATATCAATATTTTTGTTATCATAACTGATTTTAGGATGAATATTTTACCATATTTTGGAATTTATAAAGGGTACAAGTGTCTAGATTTGAAAGTTTTCATGCAAGTAAGCAGACTTTCAATTGCAAGAATTATTTATTACTAATAACCTTACATAAAAGAAAATATAAAATCCAATATTATCCAGATTTTTAATTTTTTTTTTATTAGTTTTAGAGCCAATATTTTTCAATTTTGGTGCCCTAGACTCTTTATTCTCTCATATCACTGCCTTGCTATTCAAGCAGCAATGCCTTTACTTTAACCCATTCAAAGCAGCTATGGCCGAGTTGGTTAAGGCGATGGACTCGAAATTAGAAATTTTGGAAAAAAAAAAATGAAAACTTCATTTCAAGAATGGAAAATATATCAATTCTAGTTATCCATTGGGATTTTTCCCGCACAGGTTCGAATCCTGTTGGCTGCGAAAAGTGTGGTTTCTTTTTGTTCAATCAAAAAAACACTGTTTTTACGAATTAAATTCTATGTAATACAACACCATAAAATAAAAATTAAAATAAATTTATTTTTATTATTTTGCCATTTGAAATGTGAAAAAACACAATCAGTTCATTTTTGAATAGTCTGATGGTGGTGTAAGGCCAAAATAGATACGATGATTTTGGAAATACTTTGATTTACGGAAAATTTTATCTGTACCATGTAGCCAATCCAATATACCAAGGATTCCATAATTAACATTAAATCTATATCAATCACAATGAATGGAACGATTTTAATATTAAATCAATACAAACAGAAACAAAAAAAACTTACTTGAGATGATGAAAATCATGAAAAACAGGTGACAATGACCAGGGAAAATGATAACCACAGTGGTCATTCAATGTCAATAATACCGTATATAGTAGCCAAAGATTTGAAACAAGTAAATGTGATTGCATTAAATATGGTCCAATAAGAACGGGAAATGTATTGACAATTGCATGTTCAATTGGGTGACAATAAATTGCTGCCAAAGCAATCGGTGTTTGCCATTCATGATGGCGTTTATGAATATGTCGATAAAGATAACCATGATGACATAATCGATGTGTATAATAGAACAAAACTTCACGTATCAATATGAATGATATCCATTCTGTAATAAATCGGCTTATCGTCGGTATTCGTGTAGATGATTGTGGAATTAGTATATGATTCACTTGTAACCACTGAAATGAAGCACCCAATGAGATACCCAAAATTTGATTAAATAACACTTGTTTCACTAATCTTCGTAAATCTTTTCCATTCACTTGTGATTTATCCATTTGAATTTTGTATTTCAAAATGAATTTTGGCCATTGATAAATATCGATGAATGTATAGGCTGTACCGACAATCCAATAAACGGGTATTGTTATGAACAAGCCAATCAGTGAATTTGCAAATTTGTGATCACCATTGAAACGATGAAGAATAAATGATTCATAATGATTTTCTACTGCCAATCGATATGGTTCAGTAATGCTAAATTTAATTCAATAAGAAAAAAAAATATCGGTTAAGAAGAAAAATTTTATATTGACGAAATTATTGGTCACCATACTTGTCGATCGTCAGATTTATTGTTTCCATTTTGTAAGCAACTTGTTACTTGATGATTTGTTTCGGTCGATGAAAAAATGCACATAACAATTTAACTCAATTTCACCATTTATTTATAAGTTCAGTTGTTGTTTATAAGGATAAATTATTATTAATTTTAGATAAAATATATATGGAAAATACTGTACATAGGCTGCACAATTGGTTATGATAATTTTTATTTTTGTTTATTTTTCAAATGAAATCAAATTAAGATGTTCAAAATAAAACAAAAAAACCGAACTTTTGATAGGGGAAAGTCAAGATAAAAATCGGTACAATTTATGAAATATTCAAGTGATTCTCAAACTATTTGTTACAATCTAATTTTTATCAAAAAGAACAAAGTTTTCGAAAGAAATGTGATCGTTCAAGTTATCCATGATTAGAAAGTTTAAAAACTCCTGATATATGTGATTACATAAACAAAATGTACCGGGTACATGTAGCGATTAAATTTAATACTTACTTGTTTGACCAAAATGAAGGCCACGTATGTAAATATAATTTATCACTAAATGTAATATATGTGGTTATATTTTGAATATGTAATCAAATTTTCGTTATTAAAACAGTGCATTGCTTTTTTCACGTTTTCGCGTCATATTTCCGAAGAAATGACGTCAATTTTTTCAAAAAACAAAAATTTGAAAATTTGAGCATATAGATATCGATAGTATCGATTATTTACAAAAATATGCGTGTTGATCATTGAAACAAATTGTAAATTTGAAGATTTAAAAATTTTTTTTACCGAAAAGAATTTCATTATTACCGCAGGCAAATGGATGAAGAAAACGAAAATCCTTTACAGCTATTGCTAAAAATGCGTGATGGTTGTGCGGATATAAACGAAGGTTTTGGTGAAGATCAATTTGAAATTGACGAAATTGAAATCGATCCTCAACAATATTATCATGAAATGTATTATACCAACGATAATAAACGCTCAAAGCGGCCACAATCTATGCGTTCAACACGATCCAAAGTTCGTAAACGTTCAATGCAAGAAGAAATTGGCACCATCGATATGTTGACATTCGAAGAACAGAAAGAAATTGAAGAACCGATTGAGATAGATATGCGTAATATTTATAAAACCTATGGAATTAATCCAGTCGATACTAGACAGAAATTATTTCGTAAAACTTCAAACGATATCATCAATTTTTCAATTGGTGAAGCTTTTATGAAATTTGCACATGGAAAAAATGACGAAGCTATTGGCTTGCTATTCGAAGTTATCCGTATTAATCCATTGAATCCAGAACCATATGATGCACTTGGTGATATATATCGCAGATTAGGCAATTATGATAAGGCTCTGGAATTTTATCTTCTAGGCATTGAATTCAACCAAAACGATAGTGAACGTTGGGCAGAAATTGCCGAGCTAGCTTATTTCAATAGTATGTACAAATCAGCGTTGAAATTCTACACAAAAGCCCTACGATTAAGTCCACGCAATTTGACTTATTATATAAAAAAATCAAACATATTCGAAGAATTGAAACAATATGAAAATGCATACAAAACATATGAAAAAATGATGTCCATTTTGGAGCCTGAAGATTACAAGATTATCATTTCGATTGCATTTCGCATTGCTAATTTGTTGCTATTTCAATTGAATTCTCCATCAGAAGCGTTAGCCATCATCGAGAATATTATTGTTCAACATTCGATCGAACAAGATTCTGATAAATTTGTTTCATTTCGTCTATATGTTGCGACATATTTCGATTTATTACTAACAAATGGTAAGATCGATGAATTGATCTCGAAATTCATTCAATATAATTTAATCAAAACGGAAAAACTTGATGGTATTGATGTTGAAAATGTCAATCAATGTCGAGACATTATTTTCGATAATTTAGATAAAAATCTTTTCAATACTGATGACATTGTATTACAATCAAAATTAATCTGTGCTTGTTTATATTTTAAAAAACATTGCCATACTGATTCGATAAAAAAGTTTCATAATGAATTTTCTAAAATTGAACATGAAACTGCACTGGAAATGGTTTATAGGCCGATAATTGTTGCTTTAATAAATGCAGATGAATATGAACAAGCTCATGTTTATACGACCAAATTGGTGAAAAATCTTAAATCATCCAAATATTGGTATTGGCATGGTTTATGTTTGCGGAAACTTGGCCAAGATGAAAATGCCATCGAAGCTTATGGTAATGCCATACGTTTTGATCAACATAATTACGAGGCTGTAAATGAATTAAGTGATCTTTGCAATCAGATTGGTATACCAGAACGTGCACTTGATAAAGTCAATCTTGATCATTTAAAAGTAGATATTACTCTATTGATGAATCGATGCAATCTTTTGTTCGTTTGTAAAAGATGGACAGAATTTATTTCACATTGCCGATTACTATTAAGTTCCAATCTATATTTTATTGAAAATTGGCGAGATATGGCTGAATTGGTTGCACGATCAACTACATCACTCAGTCTTATGAAATCGGCACGATCATTGCGTCGAAAATGTTCACGTTTGACTGGACGAACTGAATTGATTGGTGGTCGTTTGATTAAAGAACAATTTTTTGATTTTTGGAAAAAATCCATATTCGTTTTGCTAAACTATCTTCAAGAACATGATGAAGCAGTACGCTGGGCATTTTCCGGTCTTATGTCTTCATATAGCCATGAATTAATACAACCAATTCTATTGGTTACATTTCGAACCTGTATCGATGCTAAAGTTCGTCAATATACCTTCTGGTTGGGAAAATTATTAATAAAAGAATTTCGTAATAATGGTAAATTATGGTATGCATTCAGTGCAATGTTGAGCAGCATTTATCAAGATTATCGTCATAAACGTTTCTGCATTCGACTTTGGTCAGAATCACCAGAAAATGTTAATATTCTAATAGTAAATGGTCATATTGCATTTGAATCAGCACGTTATCTTCATGCATTAGCCATCTACTTAATGATCTATCGAATGCGAACATCGTATCGTTATGATTCATTTCATGTTGCCCTTGCTTATCTGCATCTCATCTGTCAGAAACATACTTTGGATAAATGTTCATTGTTTGCTCAAATGATTGCCTTTCTTCATGATTATATGCTCAAGATTGGTAAATGTCAAGAAACCTACTATAATCTGGCCCGAACATTTCATCAACTTGGATTCATTCCTTACGCAATTGAATTGTATCAAGCAGCTCTTCAAACACCACTTAAAGTACATGATAAACGTTTTGATCTTTCACCGGAGATAGCATTCAACTTATCACAGATTTATCGGAATTCAGGTAATCATGATCGTGCCAATGAATTAATCTTAAAATTTTGTGCTGTATGATTATAATTTCATTTTTTTTCATAATAATCATCTTGTAATATCAAATGTCAGTAGTGTTTATCAATAAAAAAGATATGTTTATTTTTTTCATTAATTTTAATCAGATTCATTATCATCAAATGATGATTGCTGAGAATTATCTTTTGATTTTGATTTTTCCGTTTGTAATTGTTCACCTTTCGTTTCATCGTTGTTCAATGTGTAACGAAATTCATCAATCTTTTTAAGTTCTTCAATGACCAAAGCAGTATAATGTGTTCGTTTTGATCGCACTAATCGGGATGGAAACGGGTTCAGTTCACGGAATGCTATATCAGATAACCGTTGTAGATTGAATTGTCTTTCATCTAATGTACGCAGAAATTGATTCATTGATGCCGAATCGGTCATCTGCAGCAGTTCAGATTCATGCAGACGTAGTATGGCCAATGCGAATCTAAACAAAACTTTACTACCTTCATGCAGGAATACATCCCAGATGTGTAGATAGACAAACACCGGTACATTGTCAACAAAAATGGTCAAAAACCAGGCAAACAATGATATTTCTATATGATGATGGTCCATTTGTTGTGATAATTGGGGCAATTTGTCCGTAATTAAATCTCGTAATACGTATTGATCAACATGTGCGCCTATAAAAATGAAAAGATTAGAATTTATAAATATAGCTTTCTATAGAAACATATACCGAGCAAATTACGGCCATAATAATCTTTAGGCATAATTGTTTCTACGATTGCCACCAGACACCAGAATGCATCTTCTTCAGGCATAAATAGCAATGCAACAGCTGCTAACCGATTCAATCCTTGGCAATAGCCCACCGATGGATTATGGAGACTATATGCCAATAGCACACGACGAAGTCGTTCAATACCATCAGATTCTAGATTTTCGAAATGACGATTATTTGGCAATGTACGTAACAAGTCCAATTCAATTTGTTTAGCCGATGGATCAAGAACTTTGCTTTGCGAACCAAGTTTTGAACGATTACGAAGTAATGATTCGTAATAGTCATCACTCAATTTAGCTTTGTGATCTTTGACACGTTGATGTATCAATGAACGCCAAATCTTACAACGATAATCCTGAGGTACACCGAGCCGAATCATTTGTTTTAGCTCAAAATTGCCAATCGGAACTTCTCCATGATTAGTTAAATTGCTCATAAAATGATCCCATTTAGAACGCCATGTGATCTCACTTTTATCAGGATCAAGAACAAAATCATAACATCGTGGTCTTTCATTGTTATGATGATAGAATCCTAATTCATCATATTCGGCACCACAAATTGAATTCGAAGCCGATTGATTTGACCATCGAGATCTTGGTCGATTTCCAGGTTTCCAACTTAATGGAATGTCTAAAGAACTTTCCTCAAGCAATCTCGATACTATTTGCTTAACAGATTCATTAGTGACGAATGAATTTGATGATGATGATGATGATTCGATACCATGAAATACCTCTTTTTGATTGCGTTCTTCAACTTGTATACAATGATTGATTTCTTTCAAAAGTGACAATAATTTTGATTGTATCTGCGATGATTTAGCTTCAACTTCACACAATTTTGCCTCGGATTGTTTGTGTTTAAGTTCAAGAATTCTGTTAATTTCATTTAATTCGATTATTTCTTTGTTGAGAAAATAGTTTTGTTGTTCGAATGCAATGGCTGTATCCTAATAATTTGAAATCAAACATTGTAAATTAAATTAATCATCAATCTTTGATACCGTTTAACCTACCTCAAGCTGTTCAATTTTTTGTTTAAGTTTTCTCGGCACTTCATCCTGAATAAATTCTCGTTCCAATTCAGCATGAGTTTGCATTCTAGAATTTTTACATTCCAAATCATAAACTTCATGTGTTAAAGAAACTAGTGTACGATCACGAGATTCAAGCATTTCTTCCAACACTTGTTTTGTTGTCGATAATGAACAATTTTCTTGTCGCAATTTTTCATTATCTTTAACCATTGTGTTTAATTTGATTTTCAAAGCAATTATATCATCACACCGTGGATCATCCGTATCTGAACAATTTGTCGGTTTTTCACTTTGATTAAAAATTCTTAATTGTTCTTGTAAGATTTTTATAACTTCACGATTAGTTTTCACTTCATCTTCTAGGGCCATTTTATCATGGCGTAATGCTAATAGGCTACCATTTGATCGCCGACATTGTGAGCAATTCATGTCAACATCTTTAATAGAATCATCTTGAATATTGTGGACAAGCTGCTTATTTGGTTTACCACTAAACATTCCACCAAATATACGAGATGGTCGACGATGGTCACTATTTGTGATTGGCACCGATAGTTTTTGGTCACGTTTAGCAGGTGGTAATGATTGAGTACGTTTTTGAGCCGATAGATTCGGAAATTTGGGTTTCGGTTGAACCATTTGTTCATTTAAAATTTTGTTTCGACTATGAGAATCAACAGTGTTCATATCACAGCTTTGGTAAAATTCGCTTTCATTTGATTTATCCGATGTAGTTTCGGTAACGGCGGCGGTGGTACCAATTGAAAAATACGATTTATCCGATCGATCAGCTAATGGTTCAGCTAATCGTTGGAAATAGCTTTGACGATATTGTTGTAACATTCGAACCCAATGGAAACCTTCGGTGGGAGTATTCGCTTCGAGCATGAATCGTTTTACACCTGAACGTATTTCGAATCGAAATGTATCAACACCAGTAGTCGGATTGGCCAATATAAATGATGATTGATTTATATTAATCTCACCCAATGGAAAAAGATCTTCTTTTGTACGATAGTAATATAGTTTACCATTGTCTTTATTGAAAACGAACCAACGTTTTTTGCGATGATTGACCAATGGCGATGATTGCTCTTGTTGAACGTTCGAATGTATCAAAAGATAACCTTGAAGAACATCATTATCTTTATTGTTTTTGGATTGTTTTTGAAGTTGTTTTACATTTCTATTTTTGTTGTTGTTACTATTACTACTATTTTGGTACATAATAATTGTATCATTGAGTGAAATTTTTTTTTTCAACTAAAAAAAATTCAATGATTGGATCCCATTTACAAATTGTTCAAACGTAGAAAAAATTCTTTATAATTGAGACGATGAAAGCCAATTACGATAATTATGATGGTGGGCGACGATGATGATAATAAAACGATGAATATCAAGAAAAAAACAATGAACAAATATTGTTACAATATGGCACAGATGAATACGGATATTGCACATTGATCGACATAAATAAATTCAATTCTTTACAATTCTATATTCATTCAGCAATTATCTGACACATGTGCTTGAATTTTTTATGATGATACAAAGAATTACATATACAAATAATAATAACGGCAACGAATATATATAAAAAAAAATTTCCAAAATAAGAAAAGCTGTGAAGCTGGAGTTAATTTGACAGGTGAAAAGCATTAAAATCTTCGAAAGTATTGCCATCTGGTTTCAATCAGGTGATGAATCGAAAATAATTTTTTTTTCTTTGAAAAATAATTTCTTTTTATTTATTATATTCCATTTGATTCATAATTTTTGCATTTATCTCATCAAATAATCAATATTGTGTTAAATCAATAATTATGTCGCTTCAATCAAACTTTTGTTTTTTGATATCTTTTTTTTTTTGTTTTTATACAATTAAAAATAAATTTATATATTCTTCTCCATTTGAATTTGATTTTTTTATCTGTGTTCATCAGTATGGAAATATTGATAACAATGAGGCATAGATTTTTCATTTTTTTTGTTTTGTAGAAATCAAGGGGGTTTGATATATATATATAAGTGATATATTTGCATCAAAACAAGGTAGGTAGATGGATGGAAAGGTTTAAAATTGTTGTGTGTTATGAATGAAATAAATGGAGAATTTATATATAAAAAGACACAAATTATAGCCAAAAAAGGAAAGAAAAACGGCTCATGTGGCATGATTATAATCTAACACAATTTTAAAATAATAATTCGTATTTTAAGTAATTTTTTCGTCATCGATGATTTTGATCAATAGGAATCTGATGAGAAAATGAAAGGCAAACCCACAATTCAGGTCAGATGTGAAATGAAGAATTGATGGGGGCAAGAAATCGGAGTTATTTACAGCTTATTGCATATGGAGTTCAAGGTATTAAAGGATTTGTTGTTCACTTAAAGAATGAAATAAAAATGTCAATGAATTACTATATGTTGAATTTCAATTGATTTGAGTGGTCTAAAATTTCAATTTTGTTGCAAATCGGTAGTCATTTGCGAAATGCTTGTCGATATTGTTGTAACTGGTGTAGAACTATTTCCAGTAGTAGTAGTTGTGGATGAATTTTCAGTCACATTAAACGACATTAATTTTTGGCGTACTTCACGAATTTTTAGTTGCAAAGTATTCTTATTTGGAAATATATCATGATATTTTCGCTGAAATTCATTTGTTTCTTGAGCTAATAAGGAATGCGAAAATCAGATTAGTGAATTGAATTAAAAATTTGAAATAGATGACTTACTAGATGGAAAAAGACCTTTCTCAGCAAAGAATTGCATGACAAGTTGTCGCCGTTGATCAAGAATCTTACGAACAGATGATCCTTGTTTCTCACTGTTAGCAGAATTTGGAGGTTGATCTGAAATGAAAAAAGTCGAATTAGAATTATGAAAAGAAATTCTTACAAAAACAATCACTTACCGAGTGGAGTTTTAGGCGATAATGAATCTCCGCTATTTGTCAACGTATTCAAATGATTAATGGCTTCAGTAAGATTGAAATTTGGTCCAAAAAAGGCAGCACCTGTTTGTGTACTACTATCCGGTGTTTTTACAATCAATGGACTTAGACTATCCGGTGGTGTTGTCTTACTGCTGCTGGCACTCAATAATTGTGACGTTGATGAAGGTGTCTGCTGTGGCTGCTGCTGCTGTGATTGTTGATTATTATTTATACTTGCCGAAATAGCTGCTAATGCAGCTAAATGTTGTTTACGTTGTTGGCGTTTACGATATGACGACACGAATGCAGCCGTCATTGATGGCGATAATTGTATTGGCGTTGTAGGCGTTACTACGGATGGTGCTATCGATGGATCGAATTCTGGCAGCTGTTCGAAATGTTGATCGAAATTTACTTCTTCAAGAATTTTATCCATCGCATCTGTTTGTTGATTATCATCATCAATGGTCATCGCTGTTTCATTATCATTCAAATTTAACTGAGATTCATCCAAAACCATGTTATTTGAATGTTCTTCTTCATTTTCACAATTTTTAGGTGATGAAAAGTCTTTCGGTTCATCATTTTCTTGCGCTTGATTTTCCACGGGAGATGATTCTGAAGCAGATTCACTCACCACGAATTCATTAGTCATTGAATTAGAAGAATCAATGGCTGCGACAGCAGCTTGTTTAGCTTTAGCAGCCGCTGCACGAGATTTACCCAATTGTGCAGGGGTTGGTGCAAGAATAAATTTCTTATTCTCGGATGATGAATTAGTAATCTCATTATTCGAAGACGATGATTCAGGAATCGATGTAACTGGAGTTGGTGGTGTTGTAACCGATAAATTACCTGATTTAAAATTCATTATAGTTTTGTAGAACATTGGTTCTTTTGAAGCTGAATTATTATCCAACGATTTACTTGTACAAATTACTGGAGATCTTTGAGCTTGATGCTGCGATGGCGAATTATTGGCATTATTAATGGCTGATGTTGACGAAGCTGAACTAGGTGTTGTTGATGTAGACGAGGTTGACAACGTAAGCGGAGATGATGAAATGGATGATACTGATGATGATGAGTTTGAGGAAGCAACAGTCGCTGCATTTGATTTGATCACCATATTTTTGTATTTATATTGAATAAATGACGGCGAAGATTGCATCGGTTGATTTGATGATGATTCCGATAATTTGGCTATGGAAAATGAACTTGGTATTGTCAATTTATCGCCTTCGTTATTCTTCGACAAATTAATAGCCTCAGATTCATGATCATTATTTTTAGATGTTGTTTCTTCTGTAACAATCATCAAACGTGGTGGATCTGAATTATCGTCATTCTTTTGTGGGGAATTGGGCGATAAAACATTGGCCTGGATCAATTCGTTTGTGGATAGATCTGCATTTGAATCTCCATTTAGTTTGCTTCGGCGTTTTTTATGTCCATTCGAACCATTACTATTACTGTTTGTATTCATTGATACAAGGGCACTACCATTTGCATAATCTTCATCATCTTCACCAATTTTTCCATGTTCAGAACCAGGTAACATCGATTTCGAACACCATTTCCAATCTGGATGACGTTTGTAATGCGCTTCCTTTACTTTATTAGCTAATTCTTGATATTGTTGTTTTTCTTGCGCAGGTAATGAATACCACCATTCGCCCAGAATTTTAGACACAGCACGATTATCTGAATTTGGATGTTTATGATGCACAAGAGCTCGATGTCGTTTCGAAAAAATCATGAATGCATTCATTGGCCGTCGAATATGTTTTTTATCCAAATCAGCACCTGAATTCGAATGTTCATTACTATTATCACCATTTGGAACAGCTCCAGCCGCCGAACGTTTTTTAGAGACACCTTCTAATTATGATAAAAAATGGAATTTCAATAACATGACATAAAAAATTGAATTTTACCTTTAACACTATTTATAGATGATAAAGAATGACTTCTTCGTTTAGATTTTTTTGACGATTTTGTACCAGAATTATTATTATTAATATTGCCATCGATATTTGATTCACTATTACTATCGTTTGTATCTTGAGAATGATCAATTTGATTAATATTTTTAGAATTAAATACAGGTGGACTGTTGGCCATTGTATTGGTATCACATTTTATCTGCTGATGATTTGAATTCTTGACAAAAACATCGTCATCATCATCATCATTTTGATCATCTGGATCACGATCATCCAACCCAAATGAATTGAAATGATCCCTTTGTTGGAGAGTTAAATGTGGTGGTGCCGAATGCGGCGGTGAGATCGGTTCGGACATGTCACCATTTCCACTAACGCCAATTAAAGGAGGTACATATAGAAAACCACCTCCTTGTTGCTTATGATGATGTGATTTGGTAGTTTTTTGGCTATGATGAAAATCATCATTTGTTGTTAACGAGATCAATGGTTGTTGCTGTTGTGCAGTTGGGGATGAACTAGGTGTATTTGGAGCAAAATATGGCACCACAGAATACCATGGAAAATGCAATTCGGAATTTGTAGATGTGGATGAAGGTGATATCTTTTTTTCTCCATGACTATGATCTGATAAAGCAGTTTGCACAGTCAAATATGGCGACGATGATGTTACTAGCGATGGTGAACTTGGTAAGTGATGTTGAAGATTTGATGATTTTGGATGACAACCATTTGCCAACAGAGCTAATCCATGATGATGAGATGATGGGATTAATGTTGTAGGTGTTCCGGTGGGTGTAGGCTGTGATCCATAATTTATACCGAATGGTGTTGGAGAAGGTGCATTCGATGATCTTGATGATGATGTTGAGGATGAAAATGATCGTAATCCATTCACTGCCGTAGATGTATCGGTGCCATTAACAGTCGAAACTGACAAATGATGTTGATGATTGGCAGTAATCGGTTGGAAGAAGGGCAATAATTGCATCACTGGAGTTATGGGTAAAGGGGAAGATCCAGCCGATGAACCACCACCATTAACACTAGGATACAAACTATTCGATATATTTTGATTATTTTCAAGACCATAATTCCGTTGAATAACAGTCGACGGTGAAAATAATGGTGATCTATGTTGTTGTTGTTGAATCGATAAATCATTTGGCGATGGCTGGCTATTAACATCAGCAGAACGTTGATTTGAGGATTTCAATGAGACCAATAATGATGCTGCTTCGGATACATCTAAATTTGGTGGACCTAATTGAAATAGAGAAGAAAAATTAAAATGAATTCAAAACTGATCAAAATAAGGTAAAAACAAAGTAAAGACTGACTATTAGATTGTAATTTTTGTTCCAGATGCTGTTTTGAATCATTGTCATCATCAACATCAGAATTATCATCGTCATCATTGTTAACATTACTAATACTACTTGGTTGTTGTTGATTTTCTAATGATGATAATCGTTGTTGTAGTTGTTGCTCAATCAATAAACGATGTTCAAGAAAATTTTGAAAATCAAAACCTAATGGTGGTGGAATCGATGAAGGGGTCAGTGGTAAAGTCTGTGATTGAGATGATAATGAATTTGGAATTTGATGTTGTTGTTGTTGTTGTTGAGATTGTTGAATAGCATTGAAAATATCAACACGATTATTATTGTTAATACCAAGACCCCATTGAGCTAATTGAGCATATGTATTGAAATATTGAAAGATTTCCATCATCATAAATTATTTTCAACACACAAACATAAATCAAATAAAAATGATTGATTGTTGTTGATAAAAACATCAAAAATATTCAAATTTTCAAAAAAATAATCGAAATCATTTCAATAGAAAAACACAATGATGCGACAACCAACACGAAACACACAACTAAACAAAAATGATGACCAGAAACAAAACAGAAAAAAAATGCGACAATTTTTTCTTTTTGAATGTTTCAGATATTTATATACACCTGCTTGTGTTGTGTATGTGTGTGGACGACAAGCAGAAACACACATAAACTCATGTAAAATACAAAGAGCTTAAAGTAAGAAAAAGAATGAGAGTGGAATATTAAAAAAAAATAAATAAAGGTCACGATATAGTCATTGGTATAAGTCACACACACACACAGAGAATGAAAACCAAAAAAACCACCATCAAAATGACAATGATGAATACACACTTGGGGCTGATGTGAGAAATGAACGCGAAACAAACAAATAAACAAATGCCAAGAAGCAAAAAAACGTTCAGAAGAAAACGAAGAAAAGCGAATCCAACATCAGTGTGTGTGTGTATGAGTGTTTAGAAAGGCAAAAACCACTGTGAACTTTACCCATGCGTACGTATAATAAAGAAAGAAGCGCAAAAAAAATCTGACCGATCATCATCTACAATCTACAAGTGTCATGATTGAGAACCAATGATGATGATGATGATGAAGGTCGAGAGAGTATACCACCACCGAATGTACATTTTATCATGACATTTGTGAAATTTTTTTTTTTTATTTCACTCGTCGTATATATTTGAAATATATAAACTGGCCATTGGCCAATAAAGTATCACCTCACTCTCTCTCTTTTATCCCATACAACCACCACCACTACTATATTATTGTACCCTACTTCTAAAATCCTCAATACCAACAATAGCACCATCAATAGTGTGCTATCATTTCATTTCATTTTTCTTCATTTTACATTTATACAATTTTATAAATGCAAAATTCGAAATGATTCATATCTACTGTATTTACACTTACAATGTATATCGTAGAATTAATAAAGGAAACAAAAAAAAATCAAATCAAGACAACCTGTTGTGCTAAGGCCTAGTCATGTACACTCACACACACAACATATACAGGTTAAAGGTCAAATAAAAACTTGCCCACAAACAACAATGACGACGATATTCGGCCAAACATTAAAAAAAAACCCAGATTAACAAAACAACAGAAAAGCAGTGTTCTTTATTTTGGGTTTTGGTTTTTGTTTGTTCAAAACAATATAATTCTATTCTATGCTGTTCTATAAATCAAAATGAGAAAAAGTCAATGGAAAAAAACTTTCACTTATGGAAATCTAAATAAAAACAAAAACACATAAAAACAATATATCCCATATAACATTTTCTATGGAAGAATCTTGTTTTTTTTTGTTTTTAAGAAATAGGTAATTCTTAAGATATACTATTATTCTTAAGATCAACGAACCCTTTTGAATTTGAGAAAAAGGCGAAACAAATTGTTTGTTTCATTATTTTGTCACACACACACACACACACACAAACAATCGAAAATGAATTGATAGTTGCACCTTTTACCTATGAGCAACAATAATTCTACGTTATATACACACACGTAAATGGATTGGTAGAGTCCAGAAAAAAATATCCAATTCAAATAATAAATCGACAGAAAGTAATCAAAAAAAAAAAAGCAAAATACATTTATCAAATCGAAATAATATTTTTGCTTTTGTTTCCAATGAAAATCGGATTAAAAACAATAACAAACAGCCGATCAGAATAGAGAAATAAAATTGGAAAAATATATAAACCTATGCGGCTACGGTCATGGACCTCGAATTACGATCATGATTAAACCAGAAAATGAAAAACAAAAACGAAAAACCTCAATAATTTTTGCATTGATATTGATGTGGCGTTGATTACCAAGTAAACAAATTAGCGACATTGAATAATAAAATAACAACAACAAATCAAACAAAAACAGCAAGAACGTATTATTATGTAAAAAAATCAGGATCAGTATAGAAATGGGAAATGAAAATCAAAAACAGAAAAACATCGAATCAAATACATACGTCTTTCCTTGTAATTCAATGAAGATGATGATGTTGATGATTGCTGTGATGATGAAGGATTGGTTGTCGTCGAACAAACGGATGTTGAATGATTCATAGATTTTGTTGGCGATGAAATGACCACTTGTGGTGGTACAACTTGTTGCTGCTGTTGAGGATTAGAATGATGATGATGATGATGACTCTTTGTTAATGCAGATATACTTGAACCACGCATAGACAAATGACGAGAACAATATCCACGACGTTGTGATTCTTTTGTACAGCCATCTTTTGAACATAATCGACGCCATTGTTTTCCATTGAATTTTTTTCTAATACCATTCGGTGTTGAAACGATATCACCTTTTTTATATTGTTTTTGTTGTAAGGCATTTGTCGTTGTTCCTGTTTGTGTTTGATGATTAAGTTCATTGCATTCAGGATGTTGATGAGTGTTTATGGCACAGGATGTAGATCCTGAATTTTTTGTTGGTGTTGACCCTGTCCTTTGATGATTTGATGATTGACGTTGATGATCGATGATGATATTGTTGTCATTATAACCACCAAACATGGCTAAACTTTGATAAACTTCAGCATCGGCTGCTTCATCATCATCCTCATCCTCATCATCACCATTCATATCGATTACATCATCATCATCATTATCCACATTATTATTGCTATTTTTATCATTATTAATGAGTCCTGAATTTTGTTGATGATAATACCCAGTATGGTGAAGATAATCTGAATAATTACTCGTTTGTATATGTGGATGATGATGTTGGTGATGAAATGGTAAAGTTTTCGATGATGTAGAATTCTCAAGCTCATATTGGAATTTGTTGGTCGTTATTGGTCCCTAAGGAGAAAAACAAAGTTATTAACATTATTATTATGATCCATTTATTCATTAAATAATTAAAGTAAATTTTTACCTGTATGACAAGCGATTTATGAGAATCATTTTCCGTTTGACGAATAGCCGATGATTGATGGTGATAAATTGATGATGATCCTGCCATTGTAATAACACTTACATTATGACTACCTGTTGTTAATGGCGATTTCGATTGTTGTTGAGATCCTCGAGCTTCTTGAATGACACCGATTTGAGTTGTAGCAGGTTTAGATGATTCTGGTTGTTTTTGTGGTGATAGTGATGGTAATGGTTCGACAATCGTTATTGATTGTTGTTTTATCACCGGATGAATATTCGTTGTAGCAACATCATGATCATCATCATTATCATCATCAGCCCATGGCTGTCGAAACAGTCGGATGTTAGCTCTTGAAAGTATTTCCGTTCTAGATTCATTCGATGAATTTTCATCAACAAATCTTATACGATAAGAAACCGATGATTTCGAATACGATTCGTTGTTTGAATTCACTAAAATTTCTTCGATAACACCTTCACGAAATTGTAGTGAACGGTTCAAGGATCGTGCAACCACACGGCTCCCAACACGAATTTGTCGACCAGATGGTGCACAATCACCGATTATATATGAAAGACAATTGCCAGAATAATATTCAATCGATAAATGTGAATGTGATGAGGAGATTGATTGAGAGAGATCAGCATTTGTTGTTGTCGTAGCCAATGATGATGATAATGATGACCTGATATTCTCATCATCATCAAACTGTACACCGAGACCTTTGATGAGATCAAATGATTTTATAACACCGGTTTGATAATAATAACAATGATGATGATTTGTTAATTCATTTGGCCATCTTTTTTGTCTTGCTAGAACACGATGTCCAATCCATTCGGATAGATCGGGCAATGATGATGTTTTTTCTTCTATATCCCTGTCAATATCATTTGTCGCTGCTAATAATGGTGAATCATGGCTTTTATCACACAGAATGGATGATGAAGTGTCATGAGATGTTGTTTTAATTACTACAATCCTATTATTCATATCTGTTTCACCATCTATTGTACGGTAAAGTATTTGATTATTATTCGTATCACTGGTTGTATGTATTCTTGTTGTTGTTGTTGTCGTTGTATTCGTCGTCGTTGTCGATGATGTTGATGACAAATCAAAATGATTTAAATTTAATTTTCGTTTCTTTGGTAGAATTTTTGCTTCATTATTTGCCATGGTTATTGATAATGATGGCAATGAATTGCCAATGGTGGATCCATCACCACCTCCATGATCGATGACAGATGATGATGATGATGACGTCGATGTCGTTGATGATGGAGGTAATGCAACATTTGTTGATGCTATTGTTGTTTCGATCGACATCTATTTGATAAATAAAATACAGTATATTAAAATTAATTGGTTCAGACAATAATAATTAAAACTAAAAAACTTACCATCATTATGTTTCACATTCGAAACAAACAGATATTTTGTGAATTAATGTGGCATAAGAATTTTCTTCTATGTTCAGAATGAATGATCAAAATTAAACAAAAAAAAAATGAGAATGAAATCTAAAATAGTAATAATTTCACAAAAATAAAAGTAGTCGTAATAACAATATCAACAATCATAACGATATTAATAATTATATAAAAAAGGTATTGAACAACAAGGTATATAATGATGATGGTATATAATAATAATGATGATGATGATGATGACGATGCGAAAGGAAAGAGATAACAACAACAACAACAACAACAACAAACATAAAACGAATTTCAAATGATTTCTATTGGCAAACACGCATACAATCCATCATGAGATTAAACCATTATGCACATATAGAGAAAGATTATCCGTAATAGAAATCACGTAACACGCATTGATTGAGTAGCAACAACAAAAAAAAAAAAAAAAAAAACATTGCTTGCCTGTGGCTGGTTGTTTTTGTTCGTATTGTTTTGACAATTCATAATGGCAACATTATCATACAATGATTTTTTTTCTCTCGATATTTGATAATAAAAACATATACATACATACACACACACACACAATTGAATTTGATGATCATGATCACAATCGCTGATGTTATTATCATTTGATGATTATGATGATCATGATCCTCAATCTTGTTATGAATCAAATGCTATCATCATCATCATCTTTGTTGTTGTTGTTGTTTATGATCGAAGCAATCAAATAACTAAACACTACGATGATAGTTTAATATGAAGAAAATTGATGATGATCGTTGTCGTTGTTGGTGATGACAATCTGGTTGATTATTATTTGAAGATATTTTTAGGTTAAAATGTAGAAAAAAAAGATTATTTATTTTTTCCATCCATCCATCAATCAATCAATCGATTGATCGATCATCTGACATTTATTTGAATCAATAAGGAAAAGCAAAAAACAATATTTGTTTGAATACAGTGCTACTTTACTATAGTATATACAAGCACAAATATTCTAACAGAAGAAATAGTTCGACGTGTGTTCAACTAGTGTTTCGTAGTGATCAGATGTTTTCATTCATGACAATAAAAAATTGAGATCTAAAACCATACACAAATAATTTGTTTTCAATCAAAATCCAAAAAAATGACAAATAAGTTGTTTTCATTCAATTTTCATCATCATCATATCATAATCATAATAATCATCATCATCATTTCTATGATCCTAAAAGATTTTCATTTACGTATGGTTATGAATGAATGGATACAATGATTGTATGTTGTACAATGATGGTAGTTGTAGTCGCGATTAAGATATTATCACCATTGAAAATGGCCATAAGAAAATTGAAAACATTTTTTTTTTGTTTTGTTTCATCTACACACAAACACACACCCACTGTTGTCTTTGAATGATAATTGTATTTTAAATGATGATGATGATACACGTTGATGAAAGTATAATTTAGATTTGGATCTCTATGGCATTCTTTTTTGTCTGTTGAGATTTATTTGTCATTGGTTCATAAAAGTTGTTTTTGATTTTCTTTTTTGTTGTCATCTCATTCAAGAGTTGTGTAGGTTATGGTAATATTTTTTACTACTACGTCGATACGATATAATTGATGATGATGATGATGGCTGTATCAATTTTTTTCATTTTTTTTTATTACGTATCACAAGTCCACCCACCAATGCAATAATAATATTCACTGGTTAAAGATTCGTAAGTCGACCATTCATATAATGATAATGTTGTTGTTGTTGTTGATGATGATTATTCTGTAACAACATTAATATTTTAGAATAGAATAATAATAAAATATACAAGATTTAAATAAAATGGAAATTTGTTTGTTAAAAATTTTTCATTTTCATCATTTTTTTTCCTGTTCATATTACAGATGAGAAAGATAGTTACAAATCAAAATTTTCCCATCAATGAAAAATCATAACAAATGCGAATTTGATACAATCAATGTAATTTTCAATCTCGAAAATTTATGGTTGTATCAGATAATATAGTCCGGAAAAAAAAGAAAGAAATTGGATTCAAACATGAACACACTGATGAAAATATTTTGAATAATTCCAAAGAATTTAAATGAAAAAAATTCTGTATAAAATATCATCACAAAATATAATCATAACCAACAAGAGAGAATTTTATTCACTGTAATATGAAGAAATAAATCAAGAATCAAAAAAATATAATTAAAAGAGTTAATTTTTTTTAAAAAAATTACATAAACAATTTTGTTTCATATGCGTCATTAAATTGAATGAAGTGAAATTTTTTTTTCTAGTTAAAATTGAATGAAATAAAATGCCACATGTCAATGTTATCACATCACTGAAGTATGTATTTTTTTTTTTTTTTTTTTTTTTTGATTCAAATCTCAAACAATGGACGATTCATAAAATGTGGGCGAATAAAAAAATTGAATACAAATGACACTTGAAACTTTCAAGAATCAAGAACAGAACAGAACAGAACAGAAAAGAGCATTCTTTTGTTTTCTATGGCCCAAACAACATTTTGATAATGTCAAATTCTAAATGTTTATAAATGAAAAAACAAATTACCATCATCATAATGGAGTATATTTATCTACATGTATGTGTGTAGTACATTCATTTGAAATATTTAAAAAAAAAATTCTAGCCTAATTACAGGAAACAGGAAAACCGATATAATAACTACAATTTGGTAACGTACTCTGTATTGGACAAATAACAAATAATACCGGAACAAAAGTGATGTACGAATGTATCGATTCATTCGAATGAAATTATTTATCATCGAAAAAAAATCGGAATGTCCTCATTCTTCCTTCAATTTTATAATTCAATCATCATTCAAATTGTTCATACAAATATATTGTTTTCGATGTTTAAAAAAAAATTCCTGGTTATTTACTGTATTTTTAACGCTAATATCGATCACTCGTCGAATGAGGATAATGATGATGATGATGATGATGAAAAAAATTAAGTACAAAAAAAATGCCTTGTAATAACATTTATAAACATGTAGGTATGAATGTGCTTGGGAACACCAGGCAAAGTATTATTATTATTATTTTTTTTTTCATTTAATTTGTAATCGTTTTATGAAAGTATCAAAACAAACGAAATGACAAACAGTCAAAAAGAATTATTTGTTTGACCATTAAAAAAAAATTTAAAAAAAAATAGGTTGATGATTAACTGAAGGAACTAGAGCTAGTAACAAGACACTAATAGCCTTAATGAGACGAGTTTCATGGGAAATTGTGTTTGATGGAACAAAAAAAAAATTAACAACAACAACAACAAATATAGTCGTCATATGGATTTATGGAATTTCTGGGTCTAGGAATTCATACATAATCAGCTACATGTTTCATTTTTTTTTTTTTTTTTGTTGACTTCCATGTTGTTTTTCTAAATAAATAACAAATTTAAAAAAAACAATTAAATGAAAATTTCTCCATCAATTTCACCATTCATTAGCAAATAATTGTCCATATTTGTCCGATTGGAATCAAAAAAAAAAAATGTTTCGTTTTTTTTGTGAAATTGAAATTTTTATTTAAAAAAAATAAATTTACCAAATTTAGTAAAGATGCAAAATCATCATCATTATATGTACAGATGAATCAAATTCATGAGCTAATATATAATGAAAGTGAATCGATCAAATCTAAATCTCAAAAATATATAAAACATATAATGATCATGATGATGATGTCACCAAATCATTATATATATCCAAATGACGATAAAGACATTGAAGATTTATGATTTTGAATATATAAACAAATTCAAAATCAAAACAAAAAAAAATAAAGGCATACATTCCTTTTAGATGATTGATTGATTCATATGTGTGTGTGTGTGTGTGTATGAACAAAATGACAACCAAAAAAAGTCATTTTCGATTTGTTGATGATGATGATGATCATTTATCATTTAGATTTCCGTGATCATTTTTCAAATGATATAATATATATGATGATAACCAAACGTACGTTCATCATCATCAATGTTTATAATTCTTAATAATGATTTCTAACTTCTAGATTATTGTTTTGTTACAATATTTCAATTATCACTATTATTATTATTATTATTAATTAATATACGGAGAAAAAATGCTAAAAAAAGAAATCATCAAACATACACAAACGTTTGTTACAATTTAATTTTTTTTTTCATTTTCATTTTCATGGTTAACTACGTATCCGATTCGTGTGTGTGTGTGTGTGTCTGATGAAATTCGGTCTTTGGTTTTAGGTAGCAATTTACATTAGCAAAATATTGAGAAAGAAAAAAAATCTTTAGCAATGTACGTTCAAGATCAAGATTAACGTCATTTTCAAAATGAAATGTTGATTGCAAATTATTTTTATTTTTTTTTTATTCATTGAAACAGAAAAAACTATTTTTCACACTCCATTGTGTTGAAGTATGAATGACAGACAGATACACACACACACACACACGAACACAAACAAGCAATTAGCCAATAATTATCATTCATAAAAATAATCTACCCAGATATATTTTTTTACAAGTCAATTTATTTATCCATTCATACATTCATTCGTACATTCATTCATTCATTTCAAATCAAAGGCAGATTAGCAATCTTCTTCCAAGAAACAATATGTTATCGAACCAAACATTTTTGTTTTTTTTTTCTTACAATTATGCCAAATGAAAAAAAAAATCCTAGTTTACTATATTATATGAATTTACATTTCCTGGTTTACCAAATATCATCTATCTATCCATATTTAATTGTCATTGATTTTAGATCAATTTTTTTTATTTGTTTGTTTGTTTGTTTGTTAAAGGATTGAAAAAAAAGACAAGAAAATTTTTCCACCATAAATTGAAACAAATAGGAAGTTAACGAATGACGAATAATATATATCGATCGAATATTATTATTTTAAACAAAAAAAAAATGTCTGTTGCATATTTCTTTTTCTTTCTTGTTATTTAGTATTTCGTTTTCATCTCGTGTTTACTGGTGTTTTTTTTTTTTTTTCTATTCATTTAGTTAATTCAATGAGAGGATTGCAATCAATACCA